GAAGAAGAAGAAGAAGAAAAAGAAGAAGAAAGAGCTATTACCTTGGTGTTAACCATTGCTCCTTGCCTCTTCAGATATTTTCAGGACAAATATCCAAAAACAAACTCTTACAAATTTTAATCAGTTATTACTTTTCTTCCTTCCACATGTATACAAGCACCTATCAACCATTGAGGACCCTGTTGAGATGCATGAGGAGGGAACCCCCGCTGTCTGAGAGACCCCTAATCCAGCCCCCTCACGTTGACCTTATCTAGCAGGAAGTAGCAAGCCGACAACAGCGCCCCCTATCATATAACACAAGAGGCTGGAATGTTAGGTTTAGATCCACAGCAGACCCTCCCATTCGGCAACAGGGCCTCATGGGTTCTATAAGCCTCTGAGATAAGCACCCTGGTCTTTGAAGTCAAAAGCAGACTTTTCTGCACCGTTTGGCCAGCACAGCAGGCTCCCCCTTTGATCTCAAAAGGGGGGCAGGTTTTAACAGTCCCACTCTCCCACTCCCCCCCATCTTTAAAAAATATATCTTCCCACCTTCTGCACCCCCTGAAGCCCTCCCCCATAAAAGACCCCCAGCTCACAACCTGTGGGCTGACATTTTTCCCTACCCTGGAAGGGAATCTGTCCCTTGTGAAGCTTCCTTTGCTCCCGATCAACCCGATTCATCCATTGCCTTCTTCATCTATCAAAACCCTTTCCTCCCTAAGTTGCTATTGTTCAGAGTGTTTTGTCACTGCAATGGAGAAACAAACTAGAACAAGGACCAAGACTCAGAAAGCTCTGGGCCCCCAGCATCATGGTGGTTATTTAAATAGCACCAAGGGCTGGAGAAATGACTCAACAGTTATGAGGATTGGCTGGTTGCTCTTGCAGGACCTAGGTTCAGTTCCGAGAACCTACATGGTGACTTAACAACCATCTGTAACTGCAACCCAAGGGATCCACCACCCTCTTTTGGACTCCACAGGCATTGCATGACATGGGTGCACTTACATACATGCAGGCAAAACACTCATACACATAAAAATAAAAATAAATGAAATTTAAATAGCACCAGCAGTCTCCCAAATTCAGATGGAGATCATGGGCTTTTCCCATGTATACTGTTTTTTTCATGTAGCCTTGATGGGGAAGTGTTTCCAATTTTTGCCAAGTAGCTTCTTTCATGTTAAACTTAACGCCTTTTTATCCACACTGTATCCTGCCAGAGCCATATGTATGATTTTAGGGCTCCTTAAGTTCTATCCCAAAGGCCTACTAAGAAAGTTAAATGAGATCATAGGGAATTCTTGAGACACATTGAATAGGATTACAGCTGGTAAGGTAAAAAAGGAAATCTAGGTCACAGGATTGCATGGGAAATTAGGATGTTTTCAATGTTTTAAAATGGTTATAGTACAGGCACATGTTGGTGCACTCCTTTGATCCCAGCACTTAGGAGGCAGAAGCAAGCAGATCTCTGTGAGATGGAGGCTTGCTTGATCTACATAGTGAGTTCCAGGCAGCTGGGGCTACAGGGAGACCCTGTCTCAAAAAAAAAGGAAAAGAAAAAAAAGTTTTTGGAGATTTCTTATTTGAAAATATCTTTATATAAAGAGTTTATAATCGATGAGAGCAGATTGGCAATAAAGAATTCATCTCTTAGAGAAAATGGATGGCACATTTCTCTTCATGGGGTCATTTTTTCTGGAATATGTAGTGTATGTAGTGTTCTGCAAATGGGGGAGACTAGTTATATCTGAGGCAGTCTAAATAAACTTCAATAACTAAAGATGTTGAGTCAGCAAGAACACGTAGGTGTTATTTGACCTGAATTGTAAAAGATGAGTAGGAGACTGGCGTGTACTTTGGGAGTTGTTAAAGAAAACCAGAGCCAGACAGTCATTAAACTGGTAAAAATAGATTTTATTCAGGCACTCTTGCAATAGGGGAAAAGAGGCATCAGAATATAGAACGGGGCTCACTTCCCATAATAGTCTCTAAATAACGTTGTCTGGCCTCTTTCCTCCTAGAGGGATTTTGCACATTTCAGATAGATACAAAAGATAAACAGACTCAAAGAGAGGCTACTTTAAGGAAAACATAAATGCAAAGTTTTAGGGCCTCAAGAAAAACAAGAATTGTCTGTAGCCAGAAGCTAGTGTAGAACTGTCAAATGGGGAGTTTCTTCTAGTCATTCACCTGGGTTGTTCAGTGGTTCACAGAAAACAAAAAAGGGATGGTATTTTCTCATGGAATCTCAAAAGGTGAAAGGGGAGCCTGAACAAGACAGCTTGGGATATTGTGCCAAGAAGTTTGGACTTCAGTGCCAACTGGGGGTCTCTGAGCGCCTTAGAACTTTGATAGCTGCCTGTGGTCTGACAGACTTGCAGCCCCTTTCCAGACCTCAATTTAGCCACTTAATATAAAAAACGGGTCGAGGCAGGGGCCTTCCAACCTCGATGGCCTGCTCCTGAGGTACCTCTGTCTTTCCTGAGTCGGCCCAGCCTCACTGCTTCCCTGGCTCAGCGCCCATCGTCGCCCCTCTCCATTGGCCTTTCCTGGGTGCTTTCAATCCCTGCAGGGCTGGGCGGGCCCGGCCGCACAAGTGCGGATAAACAGCAGCACCTAGGCTGGCGTCCTGGCCCGCGGCCCTAGCGAAGGCGGGACACTGCCGGCTTCCCTAGGGACCGGAGGCAGGCTCGGCAGCGCCATCACTGCCCGAGGGCCCGAGGCAACCTCTAGCGTGCGGGCTTCTCCCGAGAGACCAAGTCCAAGTGCCAGCGCGCGACCCTGCTGGCGCCACAGGCTAGCCCCGGCGGAGGAGCCCGAGAGCCGGTAGGGTACGCGCCGCCGCGGTCACGTGAGCAGCCCGGCCCACGTGACCGCAGGCCCGGGGCTAGCGCTGCGCACCTTCGCCACTGGCGTTTCGCGCGCTCGGGCTGCGGGAGGAGCCGGCGATAGCCCGCCGGGCTGAGGAGCCTGGGAACGGCGCAGCGGCCTGGCCTCGCAGGTAGAATGGCGCAGGGAGGTTGCAGGCCATCGGCCTTTCTGGGCCGGGAGTGCAGCCGGCGGGAGGTGAAGCCTGGGCAGCCTGGCCCCTATCCGGCGCTGCGCGGGCGTCACCGCACTGGGCGGGTCCTGCCCAGCTGTCCGGCCCTACTCGCGGCCCCCAGTCTCGCGTCGCCCCCGGCACCTCCCGAGGGCACAGGTTCCTTATCCGCGTGCCCCGACTCTCCGGAGTCCAGGAATGGGGGTTCTGTTTTTGGGGGACTCCATCCAGGTTGGCGATGAACTGAGCAAATGACACTTCTTGGCCTGCCTCTGGGTGACAACTACTGGCTTTATTCGAGATAACCGCCTGTTCTCCAGGTGGCCTTTGTTTCTAATTCGCAGGTTGGCAATGTACAGCCATCTGCTGCAGAGCTTAGGAGCTGAGGATTGTAGTGGTGTAAAACAATAAATCTCGCTTTCAAAGCGTTCACCCTCTTATGCGCCTTTGCACTTTTCGCTTATTGTGAGGATTAAAGCTCATAGAGGGCAAAAACCAAGTTTCCGAAACTGCTGTGTTGAGGGAGAGTAACATTAAAAGCAAGAGATGCTGGGAGGCAGGAGAAGCCGGTAGAACCCTGCGGGCGGCGGGGGGGGGGGCGGTTTAGAGCGATGCTTTCCATTTAGAGGCGTATCCATCTGCTGTGGACTTCACCCCCTTTGAATTGTAACTGTATATTAGATTATCTTCTGTAGCCTGGCTTGTAATTATTCTGTGAAGACCAGCGTATTTAGTAGTACTCCTAGGTAGGTCTTTTTCTTTTCATCTGTTTCTCTTGAGGAAGTGTGTTAATCTGTGAAGAGTTTCTTCTGAACTGATTTAAATGCCTTAACTGACCAAAAAGATTAAGTTCTAGGAGTTTCAGAACATAAGAAAAACCAAAGCTGTCAAGCTTGTGGCTTAACATTCTTCTAAGATTTTGCATTCAGTGCCTGTGTGTTCCAAGAACTGGGCAGTCTGGGATAGTGTCCCTCTTTATCAGATCATGGAATTGAAAGGGATTAGAAAGACCTTAGGATACTCCTGTATCTGGGACAAGGCCTTTCATGAATCTAGAGGCCACACAAGGCTTTGAGACACATTTTTTTTTTCTTGATGTCTCCATGGTTAAGTCTTAAAATTTACATATTTTTGTATGTGTTGAAGCATGCACAAGATGAATGTGATGAGAATTGAATTTAATTAGAATAGATTTCCTAGAGGGTGTCAGTTATTATGTGTCTGACCCATACTATGAATGCAGTTAAAAGAATTTCAAGTATAATTAGTCCACACTATAGACTTAAAAAAAATCCAACAAAGAATGGAGGAAAATTGAGAAAATATAAACAAATATAAAGAATAGTGTACCTGGGGCTGGAGAGATGGCTCAGTGATTAAGAGCACTGGCTGCTCTTGCAGAGGACCCAGATTCAGTTCCCAGCACCCACATGGTAGCTAGCAACCATTTGTAACTATAGCTCTAGGGGATGTGACACCACCTTCTGGCCTCTACAGGCATTGCATGCATGTAGTACACAAACATGCAAACAAATATTCATACATAAAGTAAAAATAGATAAAAAATAATGCACTTGATCTGTAATTTTACTATCAAAAGATAATGTTTTTATATTTTAGGGTGTAAGTACTTCTTGCTGTTCAATTTCATTGGGTTTCAGAGTTCAGATAGTTAGTTGTAAGGGATGCTGTGATACCTAGCTCTAGCAGATTACTTAGTTTAGGAAGGCCACCAGCAAGAGTTTGGGGAATGAAGCTCTCCAAATCTATTTAATTCTCGAGTTCAGATAGTTTGAATAGCAATTCAAATAACTAGAACACATTTATGTTTTGGGTAATAGATGCACTTTTTAAACTGAGATCAAACTCATGCCCACATAATAGCAAATTGACTTCAGGAAGGGATGGAGCTCAGTTTCAGATACTTTCTGAGAGCTTTTTCTGAGACCATTCCTGAAGTTGTTTAGAAGATTCTGCTTCTCTGAAATGATCATTCTGAATGTTCAGCTGTTTGCTGGAATAACTTTCTAATGCTTAAGACAAAGTTGTGGTTTTATAGATAGATGTCCCTTCTCAGATTCTTCAATCTGGAACTCGGGGTGGTGGAGACATCCCAGTGGCATTGTTCACAACTGTGATAGTTTGTTTCAAAGATGTCTACCAAACTCTGCTTGTTGCCAGCCCCTCTTATCAGCACATAGAGGCCTTTTCTGCTTCATTTGAGTCTAGGTAGCCTTTGAAGCCTGCTGTCAGTTCTGGGCATAGTCTTCAAGAGGCATGTGGAAGCAAATCAGCAGGCTAGGGCAGATCAAGAGGACAGTTGGAGTTTCCCACCTATCTGAAAGAAGCTTACTGAGCCCTAATCAAACTTCTGGTGCTTGCCACCGCATGCCAGCTATGTATACTCAAGACACAGATTGAAGAGAAATAATACATTACTATTGTTTTAAGCCTCTGAGGTATATTTGGGGGTGGGGGTACTGAGGAATTGAACCAGGGCTTCACACATGCTAGGCAAGTATACTACTGAGCTACATCCTCAGCCCTTGTTTTTGTTCTCTTGGGACAGGGTGTCCTTTAGCCCAGGCTAGCCTTAAACTTCAGATCCTCCTGCCTCCACTGCCTAAGTGCTGGGAATATGGCCTGCACCATCACACCCAGCTGCCACTGTTTTATGCTGGTAAATTACTCAACAGTGATAATGCAAAGCAGGTGTGGTAGTACACACCATCAGTCTTAGCATGTGTGAGGTTGAGAGGAGGATCTTAGAGTTCAAGGCTAACAATCTGCAAAGCGAGACTCTTAGGGAAAAAAAAAATAGTTACTGAGACAGTGTAATCTTTTATACCATAAAACCATTGGTAACAATCTGGGCCATATATAATAAATTAGTCCCAAGATGTCAGCCCTGAGCACAAAATTACTGTCAGCATGTATAGTAGAATGCCTTAGTGGTAAATCTTTAAATCTTTTATTAACTATTGCATAGGACTGTATTCACTGAATTAAAGTGAAGACTGTGGCTATATCCTACTCCATGGTTTAACTGGTTAAAAACTCATATTTTTGTGTCATTGGTTATTATCAGTGTAATTGTTGTTAGTTGTTTTTCTGTTTGTGGTTTTTGTTTTGTTTTGGGTTTTTTGAGGCAGGGTCTCCCTGTAGCCCCAGCTAGCCTGGAACTTGCTGTGTAGTCCATGCTGATCTCCATCTCACAGAAATGCAACTGCCTCTGCCTCCTAAGTGTTGGGATTAAAGGCCTGTGCCACCACACCCTGCTTGTTAAGTTTTCAGTGAGTAGTTTGTGTCATCATCTGAATGAGAGATGTGTGCTGTTTCCCCAGTACCATCAAATGGTAATTTGATGAAGTTAGCATCATGCTTATAATTAAACCTCTTTGTTTCAAAACATATTAGATCTGCCTTGGACACATGTATGAAGGATGGGATCTTAGGTAAACTGTCATTTCTAATGTGTATATTGCAGGACTTGAGACAAACAAGATATTTTCATAGGAGTACCTCTGTCTCTCTGCCTTTGGATGAGAAAATCCTCTAAGCAACTTCCTATTCCATTTGAAGTTAGAGCTTAAAAAACAAAATGGGGCCGGGCGTGGTGGTGCATGCCTTTAATCCCAGCATTTGGGAGGCAGAGGCAGAGGCAGGTGGATCTTTGTGAGTTCCAGGCCAGCCTGGTCTACATACTGAGTTCCAGGACAGCTGGGGCTACAGGGAGATCCTGTCTCAAAAGACTGAAACCAAAACAAAACAAAACAAAAAAGAAAAAACAAAACAGGACGGAAAATTCTGGAGAAGAAACTTCTGTGAGGTCAGAAGGTACATCTAGTCTGCCACGTCTAGGGACTGTGCCATCCCACTTCTTGGCTCTTACGGTCTTGCTAGGTTTCCTTGGTCAGCATTCTTTTCCGTTATCCCTGGTGACTGCTTCTGTCTTCACGTTTTAGTCCTACTTGTCCTCTTTCTAAACGGGAAGCCTCCTTTCTTTCATCTGTTATCTTTTTTCTTCTTTTTTACAACAGATTTTCTAGCCCAGACTAGCCTGGAACTTCCTGTGTAGCTGAGAATGACCTTGAGCTTCTGATTCTCCTGCCTCCATCTCCTGAGTTGCTTAGATTACAGTGTATGCCCCCATGGCCAGTTTCTGTAGTGCTGGGGCTTGAACCTAGGGCTTTGTGCATGTTGAGCAGGCACTCTACAAACTGAGCTACAGCCCCAATTCCTTTCTTTTTTTATAGTGGAAAAATACATGGCCTCTGAAGAGACTGCCCTAGATGCGAATTGAAACTGCACTAAGTTGCCGCTTTACACAATGATATGGCTATACTAAAAAGACTATAATAAGGGTTGATGAGGATATGGAGAAACTGGGCCTCCTATACATTGCTGGTGGGCACGTACAATACAGGAAAGGCTCAGAGGTAGAGGTAGAGGTAGAGGTGGGGAGAGATGAATGAGTATGAGTGAATATGCCTCTAACCCCCTCTGCCTTAAACTCTTCCATCCATCTCTTGTGTTAGGACAGACTTCTTTCACATCAAATCCATTCTCTGTTTTATCAAGAATCATGTAGTTATTATATCCTTTCTATCTTTGATCTTTTTCTCTTCTGGCTTCTTCCTATTACTATTGAAACATGCTCAAATCTCTAAAATGTTGAAAATGAGAAAGTTTAAAACGTCCCTCAATTTCATTATATTCCATAGATACTACCCTATTTGAAGCCTTTTTTTTTTCTTTTTTCATTTTCTTAAGACAGGATCTCATATAGCCAAGGCTGGCCTTAAACTCCTGATCCTCCTGTCTCTACTTCCCAAGTACTGGGATTATAGGCATGCACCACAAGGTCTTGGCGACTTTATTTTCTTTCACAGTTAGGTTTCCTTTTCAGCTTTCATACGCTCTTCAGCTTGCAGTATGGCATGGTATCATATAGCCTCTTCCACAGCCAGCATCACAGACTGCTGTTGAAGTCACCTCTAAGTCTCCTTGTTAGTCAGGGGACTTGGTTTGGTCTCGGAGGCTGGCATACCTCTCTTATAGGGCACTATTGCTAGGCTCATGATACTGTTTTTGGCTGGTTTCCCCATGTCTGTTTTCACAGACCCTTCCGTGGGGTATTCCTTGTCCCTTGGAGTTCTCACAAACTTTTCCCTGGATGATCTCATGCCACATTTCCAAATTTCTAATCTAGATCTCTTTCTTCAGCTTCAGACTTCTGAAATTTTTTCTTGGGACTTGCCCACTTTGACTTCCCACAGGTGCCTCGAATGCATGATGACCGTAGCAGAGCTCCTGACCCCTGGAACCTACTGTGCACTCTGTTGAGCTAGCAGCAGTGCAGTTGCTTACACAGACTGAACATCTGGTAGTCATTGCTGACTGCATCTTTTCTCTTGTCCCTCACCTGCCTCTGTGCAGCCAGTCAGAGCCCTTTGAGTCTCTCTTTTGTCCAGAGCTTTCCCTTTACCTGGTGTAGGCTTCTCTGAGCCACCCAAGATTCCCTTATGTACCCCTTCTCACTACCACCTGGTCTCCACCATTGGCCAAAGTAATTTTCACTGAGACTTATCACCACGGTCCCTGCTTAGGCTGAGGTCACCTGTGACTTCTGGGATAAAGCTCCAGTGGCTTGGCTACAGCCATACTCACTCAAAGTTCATTTGTCAGACCTTTACCTGGCAAATGTGCCAGTGTCAGAGATTTTGTCTCTCTTCAGGTGCTTGAAGCACACTGCCAGGACTTCCACAGCTTCTGAAGCTCCTCCTCAGCATATGGTGGCAGGCATTTCTGTGTCCATGCAAGTCCTGCGGAGAGTAGAGTGCCGTGAGGTTGGCCCTATGTCCTGTTCACCTAAAGACATTTAGTAAGTACCCAGGTAAGCATACTACTTGTCCACTGCTGGGGTTTTAGTTTGGTTTTAGCTCAATGCAGGATTCAGTGGATGCTTTCAAACAACTGGGAGACTTGTAGACAAAGTCTCTTCCACAGCACCCACAGAGCAAAGGTTCATTAAACAGGAAGTTTGAATCTGACCCCTTCCACCTCAGCCTTGAACTCATCAGAAAAATAAAATGAAGTACTATTGTGTTTTGTTTGTTTAAAATTTTAACCTCCCTATTTTTATTTGGCCTATTTTGTGATGCCTATGAAATAAACAAAAAAACATAGGAAAGCTACCATTGCAATCATAGAGATTTCTGATTGTCTTTTGAAAATGCAAGTATCCTATCAATCAATACTTCTGTTAAGATCATGGTCAACTTCGCAGGTTGTGGTTTTCCCTACTAATACTGTTGACACTTGGATAATTTTTTTTTCTGTCTTGAGCATATGATTTCAGTAGCATTGTCTCTTTACTTAACAATGAACCATCAGATTCTCTCTGTCCTAGAATTACCAGAATCTTCTGGGCAGTGAAATGAAAGCAGTCCCTTGGATGACAGGGCTGAAGAAATCCTTCTAGAAGCCATTATTAACTTGGGCTTCAAGTCAAATAACTTCTAGCTATTGGGAAAGCTTAACTATAGGACCTTTCATTTAACTTTTAAATGGGTAATGAATTTGAACAAATTAGTGATGCAAAGTGTGGTCACTGTCCATGTTGGGAAATTCTAGGGCCTTAGCTTATGCTAAGTGACAGTGGAAGGATGGTCTTTGGTCACCTCTGTGCAGGTAGCTGCAGCTGCATCTTATGAAGGATAATGAGGGGAGTTCAGAGAGTGCTATGTTCACAGACTGCCTAATCTTGTCTAGATACAGGACATTCTTTCTTTTTCTTTCAGTTCTGTGAGATATCAGAAGAGAGAAGTGGGTGACAGCTGTTCTAGAAGCTGAGGTAGTGACAGAATTAGTATCCCAGCAAATTTCTGAAACTGCATTGTAATTGCAGTCTTCATAATGTGTGAAGTAGTTTTAAGGTATGTTTTTGTTTTTAAAATTTGAGGTTGATCTATTATAGAGGCTTTTCTGGACCTAGAAACTGTATTGAGTGTCTAAATCTAGAGGCATAGCATTCACAGCTCAGTCCCAGAAAGCCCACCAGGATAGGTATGGAAGGAGTTGCTTCCGGTAGCATTTGGTTATTCAGTAATCCAGTGGTTTCTTTATTTCCTTTTGTTGCAGCATAAATGGATAATGAAAGTTGCAAGGTTGTACACTGAAAAGTTTACCCCAAATCCTAGAATTCTTTTACTTGAAAGTTATCCTAGACTAGAGATACAATGAACTTGAAAACAGAGAAGATGGCCGCATCCTTCATCTTTTGTTTTCAGATGGGAGCTTACAGCTGGGCATGGTGGTACAACCCTGTCATCTCAGTCCTTGGAAGGCCGAGAGAAAAAAAAGCTTAAAGACTCTTGCTCTTGCAAGAACACTCAATAATTTACTAAGGAAATGCTTACATTGAGAATTTTGTTTCTAGAATTTCACATGACAATTTTCTGGGATATATAATTTTTGTATAATTATGCTAATTTGCACACAATTTTTCTAACACATGATCATATATCACATGGTCTATGTACTTGCATGCTGAATCCCATTTGTTTTGTCCTCTATTGTTCTTGTATTTAAGGTTTCCCACTCAGGATTTTACTCCCTATTAGCTCTTTTTTTTTTTAATTTATTGTTTTTATTTTATGTTTATGTGTGTATTGCCTGCATGTAGGTAAGTGCACCCATGTCGTGCAGTGCCCTTGGAGAACAGAAGAGGCTTTCGGATCCCCTGGTACTGAAGTTATGGACAGTTGTTAGCTGCCATGTGGGTACTGGGATTTGAACCCCGGTCTTCTGCAAGAACAGTCAGTGTTCTTAACCGCTTAGTCATCTCTCCAGCCCCCCCAATAGGTTTTTCAACCCTCAAGGCAGGGACTGTTGCTTTTCATGGTATCCCCAGAATTCTTGGTATCTATGGGGGATTGCAGAGGAATTAGTAATCTATATTATTTTTTGATTCATATTACCATGCTTTTTTTGTGAAACATCTTAGACCTTATCATTAGCTCACTAACTATAAAAAAATGCTGGTTGTGAGGTAGCCTAACAACTAAAACTGATAACTAAAATCATACCCCATCCAGTTTATAAAAAGAGAAACCTCTGTTGGAATCTTTATAGCTAAGTGAGTAATTAAAAGCTATTTGAAATTTGGGGCTGGAGAGATGGCTCAGCAGTTAAGCGCACTGACTGCTTTTGCAGAGGACCTGGGTTTGATTCCCAGCACCCACATGGCAGTTACGAACCATCCTTAACTCCAGTTCCAGGGGAATCCGAAGCCCTCTTCTGACCTCTGCGGCATTGCACGACACAGGTGCACTCACATACATGCAGACAATACACTCATACACATAACATAAAAATAATAAATATTTTTTTAAAAAAGCTATTTGAAATCAAAGAAAAATTGCATATTTGACATTGCAGTTCCAAGTAGTGTAGATCTGGCAATGGGAAGCATGCTGCAGACTGTTTGTTTAAAGGAATGGTTCCACTTGGAGTCCTTGTGCTTTCTCTGCCAATCTATTTCCATGATAAAGAATGTACCTCGTTTCATGCTTCACAGATTACACTAGGAAAGTCAGAATCTTGGTGCTAACCAGTTCTAAGAGTTGATTGCTCCATTCTGACCTTGTTTCCCACAGAAAACTTTCAGGTCGGCAGAAGACCCGTTCACAGGGGAAAAGTCCTATTAGTGACACCAGGCCCCTTGTTCCAAATGCATTCTGGTTAGCCTTGGGAGAGGGGGCGTGAGGTCTTTGTGAAAGACACACGTTTATGTGAGCCTAAATTCTTAAGTGTTTTCCAATATTGGGACCACTGTTGCATCAAAAATAAACTTCTCTGTACTATTTATCTCCATTTCCTGTTTTTCAAACTCCATAAACAGAGTCAAATATATTTTTGCCAGATCAACAAAATGAAATCCTCCCCCAACCTTCCCTTAATACTTGGTTCTAGGGGGAAGTAAAGTAAGTTGGCTCTTAGAGGGATACAGATTGGTTACTACGTTGCTCTTTAAGCCCTCTTCTAAAGGCAGATTTCTAAAACTGGAAGATCTGTGTATTCCCTGCTGAACTCACTTTTGAGAATATAAAGTGAAATGACCTTTCCTCTCTGTGGCACAGACTCTCTGAGGGACAGCACCATGGCTAGGAAAAGCCATGCCAGGGAGGAGGCCATTGATCTGCAGTGCTAATGGACAGAGAGCAAGTCCAGTGATGACACAGGATGTGTGTTCAGTGCCAAAGCACCAAGTGGGTGAAAGGTGTCAAACCACTTCTCTTAGCTCTGCTTGCTCTTGCAAGAACACTAGATGATTTACTGAGGAAATGCTTATACTTTATCATTGCCATTTTTCTTTTCTGTTCTCCCTTGGCTTATCTCCATTCTGTTAAAAAATTTACCTATGCATGAGTGATAATTCAGACTGAACATTTTAATACTGTTGGTGAGAAAACATTTCCTAAATAA